GGAGGGGGAGTTACGCACACTCATTCTTTTTCGTCCTACCATTTGATACCATTCCACCGAATCTGACAGTCAAAATTTTAAGTTCTCAGTCACGCATCAGTAAACCCGATTAGTAATCGATAGGCGATTTCGGATTTAAGACGAATCAACTCCTTGAAGATTTATTGTATATTATCATGCATTTGATAATCTCATTCAATCCGGAGCCTAACTGCCGCTTAAAATATTTTAATGGAGGCTTGGTCCTGAGGGTGAAACAGTCATGATAATCTAATGAAGACCATCAATTAGTTTATATCAAAAGGGTCCTATACAACCCTTACAAAAAATTATAAAAAAAATCTATATCGAAGAGATGAAAAAAAAAATGAAGTCTAAAACAAGTACCGGTCACATCCTCATCTTAGGTAAGTCCACTCGGTAGAAGGGATGGCTCTCGGAGGATATCTCTGACCCTCCGATTAAGGGTGCTCTATTTCTAACGTTCCAGTCCATCCCCACTACCGAGATCACGGCGTTCTCCCTACCCTTACGCGGGAGCCTCTCGCCCTTCTAGCGTTCTCGACTCTTCTCGCTCGTTGCTCTCTCACTCTCACCCACTCTATGTCATATCACCCCTTCTCTCTCCCTCCATCTATCTATCTCGATTCTACACCCTCACGTAGTGGAGAATCCTCTCTACCACGTTCCGTAACCAACCCCCATCCCCCATTTATCCCGTCTTCCCCCTCCTCGCGCTCTCCATTTCTCTCCAGGACCTTAGATTCAGCCCATCTTTCTCTCTTGGCCGTTCTCACCCCTCCCTCTATCACGGCCCTCCCCACCTCCGCGCCCGCACTCCTCCCGGCAGCAACCCCTGGCTCGTACGGCTCGTTTGTTTTTTTTCGCTCTTCTTTTTTTCCACGTGTCCGCCACGTGTGTGCAGCAGCCTCTGGTGGGGGTAGACTCCCTCGCACAGAGCACTCCACTATCCACCCCCCAAGAGAGCTCCTCTTGACTCCACTCTACTCGGACAACCCCTACTACACTTTTTCATCGTTATCGCCACCGCGCTACGCCATCCACCCCGTCTCTTCGAAACCACCCCTTCAAGGGAAACTCGGACTGGCAGTCACTGGAAGACACCGAGATGGCACAACGAGGGTTGACTGGTGGCGAAGAAAAAAATTGACCAATCCAACCACTTCCTGACTGTCCACTTAGTTTTGGTTCTATAGTCTCTCCTACGTGTATATACAGTTTATCAGCATCCCTCATTTCGTAGGTGACTTGTCGCCCTCTCTACCGTTCACACTAACCACCCTTATTCGACGAACCGTAATGTCCAAGAGACACGTACGCTATTGGAATAGACCCAATTTCGATCCTCCTCCGTCTCCCCCCATACCGCACCCAGTCGAGTCGTCCAGCCTTTAGCAGTTAATCGCGATGCGCGATACTTCCGGCCTGCCGCGGAATTTCACAATACTTGGTGGGGGCTAAATAAGTACATGGGACGTATTGGGCAATCGGGGCCACTTTAAATTACAAATGAACGCTGTACTGCGCGCTGCTGCAGGAAAACAGGTGAGAATCGGGCAGCGTTTCCGAATGGGTGGGTGGCTCAACTTACTTACTTTACTCGGCTGGCTGCCCGACTGGCTTTCAGATCCCAATCCCGATCTCGATTCCCCCGAACCACCCGATCCCGATCGGCAGCTGGACTCCACCTCGGCCCTTCAACGGACTTCGTAACGTTTAACGCGCCTCCGAGCATTACCCTTATGTGTCTACGTACGTACGTACCGAAGTTAGTAAGGGTTTCGTAACAGAACCCGCTGCGCGTACACGTACCGTCGAAATACCGCGGCTAGATTCAACTCCAGATAAGACCATTGCGTAGGAAGACATTTGTCTTACGGGGACCTCACAGACATTTTTCTCTTTGTCGAATACGTAACTTTTAGTACCATTTTTTTTACTCGTATCAAAGTTTCTGGTTCTTCGAGTATAGGATTTTTAGAATTTTCAGATTATTTTCAATTACGGTCAGAGCGATGACTCTTTTTGACTCATTCGTGGGATACTTTATGAGTGTTATCTTGAAACTTTGTATATTGTAAGTTTTTTTGTTTCACGCATTTTGGAATGTATGAATACTGAAATTTGACTTGTGGTCTTTTTTTTGCATGCCTTTTGAAAATATCAAGCTGAATGTAAATCAATTTTTGGGGGTTTGGTATCGCTAAAAGGGGCAGAGGTACGTTTCTTTTCTCGCTGATCTTGTGAAGCCGCCTCGCCGTCGCATCAACCCTTGTGAAAAGTTGCCCCGAGCAGGGGTGACGCCTGGCGGCGAAATGTAGAAACATTGAAAGAACCAGCGAGAAAGGGTTCTGAGGTTTTTGTCTGGGCTAAGTTCATCCGTGAAGTTAACCAAGGGAACTGCTATAAAATCCACAGGGGCTGATGCTTCGCCTTTGAAATATAATCTACAAAATTACTACTCTTTCAAAAATAGCGGTCCTTCCATTACCACAAATATAAAATTTATCTCAGTCTTGTAATACGTTTAATCATAAATAAAAAAGAATGCCCAATGGAAGCACGTCTAACCGGAAGAGGACGAATAAGAATACAAGAAAAATGTGTCGTTACTCGAAGGACTGAAACGTTCGAATTAAGAATTACAACGGATAGTAGGATGAAATGAGCGTAGCGTCCGGCTTATTACGCAATGAAAGAAACAAATGAAGCTTAATAGAAAAACTGCCTGCGCTAGAAAAACCGTCGTACTTGGTACAGCTATAGCAGAAAGTGTACATAGAAATCGCTTTAAGAAAGTGCGTATATTTCCAATGTTGTCTAAGTGGATTTTTCCGCAGTCCCGACGGTCCAGAACTGTCGACAACTCGAAGTACCATTTTTTCAATTGACTTTTAATCTTTCACAGAATGTACAATGACTGCGCGTTGCTCGCTCGAGTCATCGATATATCGACTGTGCCAATGTCGGTGCGAGCGACAGAGACAGATAGTAGTTAGAAGCGCGATACAGTAATAAATGCATTAAAACTTCGTCACGACGGCATGACGAAGTCTAATGGTTTTTTATGAGATGAATTATTGTGATCGACCGAAAATTCATGATTTTCTTTATCAATTGATTTGGACATTATCGATTCTCCTTCTTGCACTCGGATCAACGTTGCATCCAAGTGCAGCGAATTGCACTCTTTCCCGACTGTACCACCGCGTCAACGTGGCTGTGTCAATAAGAGCCAATCTAAGTATATATGCACACACAGATGTAATGCAGACTCTGGCGTGATGCAATGCCGCGTGCTTGCAGTTTCGACATTCTCTTTGCCGGGCAAAGACAAAGTGGGAATGAGTGCAACGCGTGTGGAGTAAATGATGCACTTTTATTAGGCTTTATCGGGATTACTCAATGGTAAATGATTATTTTTTCTTTTCTGTAAATATGTTTTCGCGTTTTCTATGACACGTGGAAACGACGAAAAAGATTTTTTTTATTGGTTTCTGGGGAATGGGAATTATTCGAATATTGAGAGAAGATTTAAAAAATGGCTGACTCTCGATGAGTATCGTAAAGCGCCATTTTTTTTTCTTCTACAGCCATGAGAGTACAGCTGTAGATAAGATAAGTGTACCGTTTGACGTATCCAGGATCAAGGTGACCAAGATAACGTCTTGAGTAGATTTCTTATGAAAAAAGAATATTTCCACTCGTGGGTATCGTAAAAAGAAGCAAATAAAGATTTTAAAAATGATGAAATTAGTGATACCCCACAAGGACTGCTGGGAATGAAAATTTGAAAATTTTGATTTTATTTGTATATAAATGAATTTCTCGCGTCATTTAATGATTTTTTAAGTTTCCTCTCGTTAAATTTAAATTTGGCAACGCATTCCCGAGTGAATTAGCATTTACATCGAACGTGTGTCGCGACGGATATTTCTTTCCAGCTGGGTAATTTTACAAAATCATCGACGTCGGGTCATCAAGCGCTGGAGAGACTCGGCCGTTTCGGGTGGTTGTGGTTCCGGCAGCAGGGAAGCCTCCCATTGGCCTGCCATTGGCCGGTCCGGGGGTGGCTCGCTGCAGTCATCGATTCACGCAGTCATTGGCTGACTCGGGCTCGGCCGCCATTTTGAATGACTCCGGGATCAATACACGAGGTGTAGAAAAAATGCCGCTAGCCCCGACGCCCGGACATAGAAGGGGCTGCTGCGTTCCGTAGGGGTGGAAGTCATCGAAAAAATTTCCAATCTCGCTATTCCAACACTATACACGCCGTCCCCTATAGCCGAACCCTCCACAGACCTCCGTGCCACTCTACGACCCCTAAACAACCCCTCTTCGACCCTCTACCCTCTTCCCTCCTCTATATCGTATACACGTATACGGTAGCGCGCGCACTGGCAAATACTCCAATCCCGAATGCAAAATAGGAAATTCGCATTGACCCTCTTGCACCCCTCTCGAACCCTTCGAACCCACACACCGCCGAATCTCCGGGAGCAATGCTCGCACCATCATTCTCACGAAATGCCAATGATTTCGTTCAGGTTTTACTGCCGTTATCCATTCCGGCCATACCAAATACCAGAATCCGTATATCGAAACGAGCATTGTACGGAGGGCTGAATAATAAAGAGTCGTATGAATTTGTGAGAGCCATATACATATATTATGTTATAGTAAACGTAATGATAATTTTCCATATTTCCAATAATTTCATTATACGTACGTGGAATATATTGGGAAATGGGTTTTTTTTTGGGAAACAGCCGTGCTTGCTGCTTTAATGGATTATGGTGAGCACGTAGTAAACTGTAGTATAGCGAAGTTGCTTGGGGGATGATTCTTAATTTTTGTTCATTTCGAGTAAAACACGAATAAAATTTTATCATGCGAAAGCTTGTGTTACATGCGAGCGTACTGGTAGTCCTTATATACGAATGTACTTACATATGGAACCGAACTAACTGAAACAAGGACATAAGGCTCTCTTGGTAGCAACGACTTTTAGATCACATTTTTAGATTATTATGAATTTTATCGTTTTTTTTCATTTTTTTCGGCTTTAAAATTTATCTTTAAAATCTAAAGTTTTCAAAACTTGTTAAAAATATACTTTAGTCATATCTTTACAATTTACTTCGTAGACGTTTCTAAATTGTTTCTTCTTTGTTCTTCCTTCCTAAATCTTTTCAGTGTAGGTATTCTTCTAAGGCAATGGCTTTAATTTTGTTTCGTCTCTTTTTTTTTTATTTTCTTTTTCTATTCTTTTCAGTATTTTTCTTTTTCCTCTTCTTACACTTCTGCTTTCTTTTTTTGCTTCTTGTGGTAATTTCGAAATAAGAGATGTTTGAAAAAATCAAGATTAAGAAATGTTCGTCGATAAATGAAGATTAGTTGTTCAGACTTTTTTTTTTACAGACAAAAATCCCGTTTACGTGTTTTTAAACGGCGAAATTAATTTTTCAATGAAATAACTATGACAACACATAACAACACAGTGCGACGCGTCTGAAAAATACAAGAAAAACGGGTCGTCTCGTTAAAAATCGACTCGTAGTTGGTAAGCGTTACGCGAGGCGTCGAGACGCGAAGCGAAGCGTCGGTTACTCGATTTTACGTATAACACCGTGATCAATTAATTCATTTAATTATCATGACGAAGAGGGATGAAACAAAATATAAACCTTTTTACCATAATCCGACAAAACTATCGATAATGTATTTTGTAACCCAGAAGCTACAATTTCCTATACTCTGAGCACGTCTAAAATATTAAAAAACAAATTTCGAAAAATTCAAACAAAAAAGCCTGACAGTCAACAGAATATCAGAACTGAAGTCAAAGAAAGAATGATTATCAAGAAAAAAAATCGATGCGACCCTATAAACATTCGATAAGAAGATCCTTCCGAATTTCTAAGCAATTCAAACGTCCCGCCGGAAAAAGGAAAAAGCCGTAAGAAGGGAGTCACGTGATTATAGGAACGAATGAGCGTCTTTGGATGGCACCCCTCTCCCCAAACCTCTCTCCCACCCTAAATTCTCTCTCCCCTTCTGGAGAGTACAGCGCGTCGTCGCGGCGCTCCTTGCGTGGTAAGACGCGCTCCCGTCTCTCGTGCCGACGCCGCCGCTACCGCCGCTTTCGGACTTTTCTCCCCACGTGCTTCTCGACCACCACCACCACCAGCATCTCGACGAGCTTCGGAAGCTCCTTCGCGGAGGACCGAGGTAAAAGGATCAGTCGACCCCGAAGAACGAGCGGATCCTCGTATAGATCGCACATCGTCACAGAAGAGCCCAAAGAAAATAACAGTCCCATCACTGGTCCTCCAACCCGATGAGAAAGAAAGAGGTACAAATATCCCGAATACTTTTGAAAAAGCACCAAATCAGCCGAGAGAAAAGTAAACGAACCCAAACCCATTATTCAAATGAACCCTACTACGGACCACCCCTAAGACCTTATACCGTAACCCCATAATCGTCCAGCGACCAATACTGCCTAAGAACGAATTCCCTCTTCGTCTCCACTTGAACCCGCGACTCTTATGATTTTTACAACGACGCCCGCGTCTCCCGCCGCGTTAATTCGTTACGATATCGCGATAATTCGTAACCTTTGATAGAGGCATTGCGAGCATCCCCGTGTCTGAGTAGCAACTGCGCTGTGGCCCCGTGCCGGACACCCCCACCTCGTCTCTCGGCACCTCGCCTCACCTAAACCAAACCGAACCGAAGCAACCCTCTCGGACGAGCGCGCCAGCCGAGGCCCGACGCCCAAAGCTTCGTGCTGCGCCGTGCAGCACGCGGACTGTACGCGTTTAGCACGGTGCTGCTAGGGGGAGAGGGGGTCTCGCGTTGCTGCA